CAAAGTAAGGAGGGTAGCTTATTTTCGAAGGTAGCTTAATTTCGGTATTTCAGTATTTGCAATAACGATCTGAATACATAGTTTATTTTAAATATGTAGATCAAATTTTTTTCATACTCACCCGGATTAAGAAAATTAAAGTATTCATTACTTATTTCAAATTAGATCAATAAATTTTCATGCTTTGCAAAATGAAATTAAAAAGTAAATATTTATGAACTTAAATATCTTATTTTAAAACGTAGATTAGCAAAATTTTTTTTATAATTAAATTAATTAGTAAATTTTTTATCATACTCACTTAAATTAATACGAACAAATTGAAATTAAATAGAAAATAGTCATAAACCAAAATAACTTATATTAAATACATGGATTCATAACTTTCATAATGTATATTTTATTTAAAACACATTAATAGATTTTCTTATAGTCACAGTTAAATTAAAAAAAAAACGAACTTGATAAATATTCATGAACTTAAGTAGTTTATTTTAAACACTTAGATAATCACACAATTTAACACGAACAAAACAATCTAAATAGTTGAAAAACCGAAATGGCTTATTTTAAATGCAAATTGATGAATTTTTTTATAGTCACGCCCTAAAATCAAGCGAACAAAATAAATTTAATCATTAACATTTGTGGACTTGAGTAACTTATTATAACCATTTATATTAATAAATTTTCATTATACTGACCTAAACTAATTCAAATTCTTCAAGTACTATTTTTCGCTTTAAGTATTCACATTCTAACTGTTCTAACAAATTAAAGTCTGTAAAAGAAAAGGATGTTAGTTCATATTTCCAAAAAAAAAAAAAAAAAAACAGTAAACAATTTAAAAAAATGAAACTAGTACTTATCCAAGTTGCCGTTTTCTCGCCAAAATATCCATTTAAAATTAACAAAGATCTACAAAAAAAAATGGTAATCTTAAAAGAAAACAAAAAACGAGATCGAAAAAAGATACTTGTTCGACCATTTTTGGTTCTTTGTCCAGATTTAACTATTCGAGCGCCTATTTTATTCCAAATGCTTCAACAACAGAACAAAAATCTACGAAAAAAAATGTTAGTTCCTATTTTGAAAAAAAACTTCAAATAAAAAATATAAACACTTATATATCGTATTACAGGGGTAATGATAATCGACGTTCGTACAAATACCACGTTACCATAGAAGCAATATTATATGAAGACAAAAGTTTCATATATCCTACTCTAGACATTAAAGACTCATGGTTTCTAGTTCTATATAATAAAAAAAATTGTTAATAATAATAATCATTAAGTAAACGGAATTTTATTTTCGTTCATAGTAAATAAAGCTCCCTCAGGAATAAGAAAGGATGACTGTTCCTAATCAGAACTAGTAGGACTTATTCCCTTGTGCCAGAAAACAGAACGTCTTGATGAACACTTCCTCCGGAGTCCGACCAAAAGCGGCCCTCAACCACCCACCTTCTTCTGTGGATCTTCTCCAAAAAGAAAGTGCTACTAGTTGTATTATTTTGGTAGTAGCAGTTTCTTTTTGAATCAAATCGCATCCAACTCCAGAAGGAACATCCGTCCGTGTTTATCCCTCCGGCTGGCAACTGACACAATAGGGTTTTACAACTTATGAACTAATAATAAAAATGCTTACTTCATTTCTAAACTGCTTCTTATATCTCCAGTACGTAGTATAGACACTACCGGTGTAATGTCATTCCGAATGCAAAAGTAGCCAAAAAAAAATTCGCGTCTAAAATTTGTCGCGAGATCCTCAGAATGAATGTATGACCTGTCTCGAGGTCATATGACGATATTGATCTGATTGGTTGGTGCAGATCAATTGCCCTAACCTAGCGTCGCCCGGAATTTTTTTATTTAATAAAAAATAATTTACGCAATAAGAATGATACATTAGTTTAAGTTTAGGGTCAGCATTAGACTAGAGTTAGATGTGGCTTTAGTGAAGTAATTCTAATCTAAAATTTTGCAAGAAAATTTTTTAATTAGAATGTAATTCATAGACAAATTCTATTCTAATTGGTCGATTAGGGTGGCGATAAATTACAACACCCTTTTTTTAAAATAACTAATATACAATTGATTTTTTTGTATTGCATTACATTATTCTTAACCTATTATGGTAGGTTATCGGTTTTGACGGGTTTGGATCAAAATCCCAACGGCAGAAGTTTGTTTAATTGGTTAATTTTTATAGATATACCAGTGATTTCCCGTGATTATTAACCAATCAAATTGCATAATTTGTAAAAATTTTGTCGTTTAATACTGCTAATATCGAAAATAAAAAATGCAAGTTTACAAACTAATAAATACACACACAAAAAATTTATCACATATGTTTAGAGAATATATACGCGTAGAGCGAGACAAATATGATATTTATTACTACGTAGTAAACCTAAAATCATTGAAGAATCTACAATATACAATAACAATCCCAAATATACTAAAGGAGCGAACCAAACTTAAACATTAAACCCGGATCTTTTTACCATTAAAGAACTACTTGTATCTATTCAAATTAAACAAAATTTATTTAATATAACATAATAAAGTTAAGCAAAAATATTTCTAGTCACCTTCTTGCAAGATCCAACAAACGGAATATACTTTATTATATTTTTGCCTTCTAAGCAAAGTTCGTCAGAAGTGAGATCTTTCTGCATAACAAATATTGGCAGTGTTTTGAAGCTACAAATAGGTCTTGGAATTATTTTTATTAGTGCTGTAGTGAGACGTCTGTTTTGAAAAAGTGCTTTAAAACCAACTTCAAGCTTTTTTCCATTTTAAAAAAAGTCGTTACTAAGCTAACACATCTTGAATTTTAGATTATAAGAGATTATTTTTAAAGATGGTTTTCCAGCACTCAAACAAAGCGATATATGTAAAAATCTTTTATTTTTATCATTGAAACTTAAAAAGTACTTTAAGTGTATAAATAAGTTACTCGGGAAATTGATTTGTATCAGCAAACTTTTGAGGTCATAATCCCGACAAAAAATCCCGACAGTTAAAAATTCCGACAATTAAAAACTCTGATAAAAAAATATCATAGACCTATTTTAACCCTTATCTAAAGTGACCTAACCCTGAAACTAATTAAATTATAAGAGTCTATTTCACTTTAAACATATCACATACTTGGGATTTTCTACCTAAAAATTATGGCTGTTGGGATTTTTATTTGTTGGGATTTTTATTTTGTTGGGATTATGACCTGTCGGTATTTGACCCGCACAGGATCAGTTTAAGGAGGGTCAACTGTACCATAGAAAGTTATACACTAACGGTTGCTTAAATGTCTTAAAGCAAATATCAGTGGTGTACTTGTCGGCAAATCTGAGGATTTTAAAAATATCGCTACTTGGCAAATGCAACACAAATATATATACAATTTTATTTCACAATTCTATCTCTGTCCTATTACTAGTATTAATTGCACATTTATCCCACATTATAATTAATAATCAAAGAAGTAATATGAGATCTGATGTCTATATAAAATTAGGACGCATAAAGTATAATAAGTATTATGATTAGAATTTATATAATATGTATATAGGATAAAATCTTTTTTAGTTAAGCGAAGTAAAAAAAAAATGGGTATTTTCCGAATATATATATGGATTTGGTACAGTGTTACGAAAAGCGAAAAGATGACGTAACTTTTAACATTATACTTTTTCTTTGTGTGATTAGATAATGATCGAACCTATTTGTTATATTAACTCATACAGGGGGATCCCAAAAAATCCGGGTCGGAATACATCGGAATCATGATCGGCAGGGCCGGAATTAACTAATTTTGCCCAAGATCACTAAAAGTTTTACTAATGAAACCATAGCTCACTCATTAAGTAAAGCTGCCCAGCTGATAATTTTGGCCCAAAATGGTTAACTTGTATTACTAAATGCTAACTAAATGCCGGGCTAAATCCGAGGTATTCCGACCCGGAATTTTGAGGATCCCCCTGTATGAGTTTGGACAAATGGCTATGTTGATCACCTACCTAATATGGACTTCCCAGGATTATCGCTCCTGGCAGATGCAAGAGCAATAGTGGCAATAAGGGTTTTTAAGAGGAAACTGTAATTAATGGGATATATGGGAATTAAGAGTTTTAAGTAATAAGGGACGTTAAAGGGATATAAGGGGGATAATACGTTTAATAGGATTAATACATTTAGTACCTTAAAGAACACATATGTGATATGACAATATATAATAAAGGCTTCGAGCCCTACAAAAACAATTCAGTTAGTGCTTATCATAAATTTCGCCTATAATAATTCTCTGTTTAATTATATTATAAAACCTATGATCATAAACACACCACTCTCCAAATCTAACCGTCTCTTATCGACTAAGCTGTTCGTAGGTTACACAATATATCCCATCGACAAGCAACTGACTCGCCATTTCGATTATGTCATTATTTAATAGAAAACCAACCACAATAAAGTAAAAATAGTTATTGTGATATTAGAATATCGTGACTGATCACATGAAAAATGCAATAAGTGCAATAAGTTATATTTGTGATCAGAAACAGTATATCAGATGCAGAGAGTAGATAGAGAATAAGAAGAGGATGTAAAGAAAATTACACATCTTTAAGAACATTAAATAAATCATTGTAAATAGCATTAAGTAATTTTTAAGGAATAATAGTGTAAAGTCACATATATAAATGAGAAAGAAAACTATATAAATAAAGGCTGAAATGCTCTTAGAAGTAGTAGTACTTTATTGCTTTATTAAACAATAAGTTCCAATACATTATTATCTATAATAAATATTAATACTAGTACCATTATAAACTCTGTAAACACTTATAATCATTGTCATTCTTAATCATGTGACTTACTCTACTTTTTCATTGATCTCAAGTAACCAAAAATCTTAATCACTTATCAGTCAAATCTAATACCCTCTTTCATAAAGGTTATTTATTATTAAGTACAAGAGAATTTAGATTGTAAAGTAATTGATCATAGAATCACACCTATAATACTATATAAAAGGTTTTATTAGAATTGTAGAACTTTACAATCACAAATAAAATCTAATTCTTATTTGTTTAAAAAAATTATCTTAGTAAGATATAGTATATAATTATAATAATTAGTATAAACAATATAATCATTATAATTAGTATAATTGGTATAAACATTATAATTAGTATATGTAAAATAATAAGTTAAGTGTTATATCACAAATAAAGTATATAACATATCTTATATAAAAGAAAATATTGTTAACCTGTAGTTTTTCCTTTAACTACAGTGATATCAGAAGCTGCTCAACTATAGTATGACGACTATAA